ATTCTTAAAGATTCTAGTGGAAGTATAAAAACAGCTATAATTTTATTGTTTGAGCTCCTATATATGTATATATATATATATATATATATATATTGTGTGTGAAAAGTCTAGACAAAGGGGTATGTTATATCTCAGTTATGCTCTCTAGCTAAGAGCCACAGAAAAGGAGACATTCTAACCTTCAAAACAAGATAAACAACTTACCAGTTATTGTTAACTGCACTTTTGTACCTTAAGTTTTGAAGTAAGTCCTAAAGCACTACACTTACAAGTTGAACATGGTCTGGACTTTCTTTTATAGTTTTTGGTATTGTATCTCTTGTTGCTGATACTGGATTTGTGTGATATCACTTTCATATGAAAAGTACAGAAATATTTTTCTTAAATATTTTAAATCAGAATATTCAGAGTTAGCAAGTACTTAGACTCAAAGAGTTGTGTAATGCATTTGATTGTAAATCAATTTATATAAATGTATAATGTTATGAGATTAAAGCTATTTAGTCTAAACATTTGTGTTTTTATGTTGTAATTTGTTGTCATTCTAGAATGAAAGAGGCATAATTTATATTTATTTCCTAATTTTTTATGGTGGTTATGAGATTGGTCAAATCTACCGAACCCGTACAGAGATTCGTTAGTGAAAATAACAGATAAAATATAAAGCTTATTCTTACAAAATGTTTGATAATTATCTGGACATTATAAATATTTCTCATGTGAAATTTAAATTTTCTGATGCATAAACAAATTTTTAATCTTAAAATGAAAATTACTTTGCACGTTGGATAGGCACCATGCGAAAAAAAAAATATATTTTGCGTATGAAAGCACTGTAATGTTTACTGATAATCTTCCAAATTTTTTTAACATATGCTTACTGATTTAAAAGTTATAGCATGAAAACTATAGCAAGCACAAAATGGTTACAAGGGGCCGAACCCGTGCTGAAAGAGTTAATAACATAAAAAATATAGAAGTCTAAGATAAAGGATGTAGTTTTATTATTTTTTATAAAAACAGTGGTTTACAGTTAACTTATAAATTTTAGATGCTAAAACTTTATACAAATACCAAACCAATTTATTTTGGTTAAAAAATTTTAAAAAATTTGTACCAAGTTTAATGCAATTTTCTTTTTTCCAATTATAAGGTACTTCTCACCCAAAGCTTCTCTTGATATTCTGTTTGATCAGTCTCTTAAGCCATTCAAACAATGTGCTGTTGCTAGTATCAGGACAAAAAGGACTTTAGGTTTTATCTACAGCAATATTGAATACAAGTCTAAAGAGGCTATATTGTTATTATACATTGGTTAGGCCACATTTGGAATATGGTGTTCAGTCTTGGGCTGTACCTCCGAAAGAACATTGAATTATTTGAAAGGATTCAGAGGAGGACTACTAAAATGGGATGGAAATGTTATCATATGAACTTGTTTTCTTTTGAAGATGTTTAAGATTGTTAATGTTGTTGATGCATCATCTTTATTTGTAATTAATGGTAAAACAAGAGGACACAGATATAGATTTAGAAAAGTCATCTTCATTCTAGATGGACCAAAAGGTTCCTTGTCTTTTAATGTTATGTTAAAGCTCAAAGAGTTAAGGATATTTAGATTTTGAACTTTTGCTACATTACGTGCTACTTATTACCTTTACAAGTCTTTTGTTTTAAGTAGATTTTACAGTATTATTTTTTTATAAAAGCAATATCTGTTTTTCATGCAGCCTCCAAGAGTTGGTGGTGTAAAAGTTTATGAAGAAAATGTGGGAAGAGATGAGATAATTATGGATTTGGAAATTCTGTAGGTACTCTTGTTTGTCGGGTATTTTTTAGCTTGGTTTTATATATAAGTGTCCATTGATGGAATAAAATCATTATGTGGTAAAATCTTGAAATAAAAATCACTTTAAATATACTTTTCAAGTTTTAAATTCTTAGTCATTTCTTTACATTCATTTTGGAGTTTGCAGGAATTTTAGACTTTCTAAGCTCATCTTTGTTTTGTTTTTCATTTATTCCCAGATTCTTGAAGAAGTATTTTTCATATGTAAACATAGAACAATGGCTAAGTTTTTTGAGGCAATCTTCTTTAATATCATAAAATCTTTGACCTTAGTAAATTGTGTTCTTGAAAACTGCAGCCATTTTTCAATAAACTTTGTTTATATTGAAGTAGCGGAACTTGCAACAAGTTTGTGTATAGTTCATCCATCAAATGCCAGTAATTCAGCAATAGCCTATAAAATGTTAACATCCAATTGCTCTTTGACTAACTTTAAAGAGGTATTGGATTCAGTGAATTAGGCAGTTGAATTATTTGGAGACACTGATCAGATGTGGAAAATTTTTAAAGATAAATTTTTAAATATTCAAGGTAAACATATTCCTTAATAGAAAAAAAAGGGTAGCTGCAATTTAAAAACCACTTTGGCTCACAAAGAGTTTAAGAGATAAAATTAAAGAAAAGCATCATAGATTTAAGAAGTTTAAATTGACTGGTATGACAGGAGATTATAGAAGATCAAGAAAATTGGTGAAACAGGAAATTAGGACATCAAAAGGGATGTATGAGAAAAGGTTGGCTGAAAATGTAAAAGTTAACAGCAAAAATTTCTTTAAATACATTAAGGGTAAACAAAATGTTAGGATGGGGTAGCACCCTTGAGAGATGATAAAGGAAGGCTAGTATCTGATGATTATGAGATGACTGGGCTATTAAATGCTGCTTTTTCTTCAGTTTTTACTAACGACGATTTAAGCAGTATTTGACATCTTGAACAGTTGATAAATAGAAATGTCATCAAACAAGATGACTGTATTAATTCTGAGCTGGTTACGAAAAAATTTGGAAGTTGAAGAATGAAAAGGCTCTTGGGCCATATAATATTTCCTCAAGAGTTTTGAAGGAAGTTAAAGATTAGATATGTGAGCCATTTGCTACTATTTTTT